TGATGAAAAGGCAAAAAAAAACCTGTATATGGCAGTGCTTCTGCTCTGTGTCAGTGTGTTCATATGTGGGTGTGTCTGTGTGTATGTCTGATTGTGGGTGTACTTTATTGGCTCTAGCAGATATTAAGTGGTAACTCTTTACACCAATTCTTTTCACCAGTAAGATTTTTTTTTTTTAAATTTACCCACTTTAATTTCATTTTCCATACAGTTAGTTGTTATTCATCACCATCTGTATGATGGTTTTCTGGAGGTGGAAATGTTTACTGGGACTTTCCAAGACAAGGAACTGCTGATTACTACTGACATCAATAAATCAATAAAAGCTGAAACTGTGTTATGTTAACATGTAGCTTTGAATTGTTACCTTAAAGATAGAACATCATTGTCTATGTAATTTTGGGACCACAACTTCTTCTTCTTCTTCTTATTTTTTAAGTACCTTGTGTAACCAAGTCATAATCATTAGATAAAGAGCCTTCAAAAGCAGTGCATGGTATTGAGTATTGCTGCAAGTCGTTAAAAGTTAGTTGTAATACTTTTAAAACAAACATGTTTTAGTTCCATAGTGTCACTGAGCCACAATTTTCTGGCCTTCTGGACAAAAAAAAAAGAAAAATAATTCAACCGTCAGAGTCCACATTTCACTACTACAACATTTAGGTTGTTTTTTTTCCCCTATTTTCTCATAATGTGTTTAGAAAAAAAACGTCTGATTTTATTGTACACGGGGCTGTAAGAGAAAGGGAAGTGAAATGTACACGTCAGAAAGCCACTCATCCAATATAATATTTTGATGGAGTCCAAAAGAATAAAAATCAAATCAAGAACATCAGCGAACTTCAGCGGGGGAGTGACAGCAGGAGTGGAGTTGTTGTGTGTTCACTTTAAATACACAAAATAAAAGGACCAATGTAACCAAGTCAAATGTAATATGTTACATTTATTTGTAGAGTTAATGAGACCACATCTAACATATCTCACACACACACACACACACACACACACAGTGAAGTCCCGATACACGAGGCTTCAATCACCTCATGACTGATAATGAGGTGATTTAGATTCCAGTGGGTGTCTCGTCTCTCAAAACAGCAGCCTGAACACCTCTCCATGGTTGGCTTTAAGTTGTCATGGAGACACACACCTGTGTTTATGTTGTCTGTTACTGTGACCCAGAAGGGTTTCATTTATGTTCACGTGTTCCTTCAGTATGAATTCTCTCCAGGTCTCAGTCTGTGTGTACAGGTCCTCATGGATTTGTTTGAAATGTTGGCTTCCCTGATTTCTTGTGTGTATACATCTCGCTAATGTTGACATTTTCAATACATTGTATAACATGAATGATATGACTGGAAAGAATTCTTTGTGTTCATAATCACTGGAAGATCATCTAAACCAGGGGTGTCGAATCCTGGTCCTCGAGGGCCGCAATCCTGCATGTTTTAGATGT